CAACGACTCAACAAAATGAGAAGGATATTAATTTCAGCACTTATTTAAGTTAGGGGTTCTATTTAATGAAATAAACATTTTAAAATTTAAGCTTGATTCATTCAACTCATATAGGAGTTTCAATAATCCTCTCTAATTTTACCTCTGGTTTGGAATTTTGGATTTAAAATAAATGATAGAGCGTAAGTGTACACTCGTCACAAGTAGTAAAACTGAATGAACATTCCGAGTATCGATCCACATGGACAAATGAAGCCTTTTTTAATGAAAATGATGTTGATCTATGACTTTGCAATTGATTTTGGGTAACAAATATCAAGGATAATGTTGGTTTTGGTATTTTAAAACTCAATACAATAAATCCAGTCCAGTTACTTCAAATTAGCTAAGAACACAACAAGTTTTTCCAATTAGGCGTCAAACGCCTCTCAATATTTTTCTTCGATTTTTCTTCGTCATCTTCTTAGAGCATAGTCCATAAACAAGTCTCAATCACAGCTCATAATTGAGGTTACCGTTGAACATATTTCATAACAAGAGGAAGACTTTTCTTACTTTTTCATTGAGGAATCTCTTGCCTTTTTTAACCTGACCTATGTGCTAGTATATGTATATTCTTTGTGTATGAATTGAATAATGCAATCAATATAACATTCAGTTTGGAGTGTGTGTAGACTATTGAGATTTGTTCAAAATCTATAATCACAACGTGGGGTGATCCTAACGCGCTATACACTATTCTCTCTCTAGTTCGAACAAGAGATAGGGCCATTCCGCTTCTGCCATTGAATGCTATATGACACAATATGGTATATCATAAAAAGAGGCTATACAAGAAGTTACAAATGGTTGGAAGGAAATTAGGGAAGATTTCGTGCAATCAATTGATGTTCCATACACTACTTTTATGTCTGTCTTAAATCTTGCTCGACTCTCAGATGTCTTTTATAAAGATGAAGATGGTTACACATATTCAAATGGAAAAACCAAACTTATTTCTCATTTCTTTACTCGTGGATCCAATGCCAATTTAAGTGGTATTGAGCAGGATGATCAGTTTTCACGTATAAAATATAGTATTTTACAAGTTGTGTACTAAAAAAATTATATGTGATGCACTAAATAAAATATTGTACTATTTTAAAGATCGGTAGCAAGTATGAGTTTTTTTGGGTGGCTAAGTTAGAGGGCTTTTATCACAAGGTTATATTAAAGCATAAAATTGGAGATGACATGTGTGGGTTATTCATCCTTGATATGATACCAACCTACTAACATGAGTATAGCTCAATGGTAATTGACCTGTACTTCAAGTATCTCTACAATGGTATGGTATCGTCCGCTTGTCCATTAGTTTCACTGGGGATAATTATCCAGTAAAACCAATGGAGATAATTATTCTTATCTATATATTGTGGATTAATTCCTTCCCTACCTAATGTGGAACTTGTTTGAACTCCTTACAACTCCAACGGAACCTATTACTTACTTTCTTGAAGGATGGAAATTTGAATCTTTCACCATTTATTTGTGGGAGAAAAACACTTTTTATTAATTATCTTTTTTTTTTTTTTTTTGAAAAAACACTTTTTATTAATTATCTATTAGTTGCAACACTATTACAAATATCAGTGTTCAGTGTTTAGATGGTAAAGGAAGATTATTATTATCAATAAAGTCTCTCTTTCAGTTTACACACGTTAACCATTTAATTTTCTAGCTATGCAGATTCTAAACACATGAGAATCCAAAGTCTTTATACCCCAATTCCAAACTTTGGACAGAATCACAAAATAAACCCAAAGAAAGAACTCGCAATTCAAACACTAATAGCATAACATTTCGATGAAACATATATTAGATATCCAATATATGAATTAAATTTATCCGACCCATAAGCTTAAACTTTTGGATTGAGTGGTAATTTATTCATCCTTATTATTGTATCAGAGCGGGAGGTCCTATGTTTGAACCCCTACATTATTGTTTCTTCCCCATTTATTATGATTTTTTCACTTGTTAAACTGTTTATGGATTCAATAAATTTAATATATTGGATATCTAACGACATATTACATACGGCACTCAAAAACTAGAGCATAAAAGAGTCGCAGAAATGCCAAATTTTACAAAAAATGTTGCCTAACTTCAGAGCCAAGCTATACTCCACTATTCACCATTGAGGAATAATTTATTGCTAGACCCAAAGACATGGCAATAGCATAGGAATGTGAATTATGTAAAATTGGAAAGTCTTCCTGGATATTCTGGTGTGTGTATGGCAAGCAATGTTCATATTCTCTAAACAAATCAAATCAGTTTAGTTTTAGGATGATTTAGGAAGCAAAAGCAATAAGCCAAAGGCATAAAAGATAATTGTCTTTCTCTAGAACTTCAAAATTGTCATCCATAACTACGGTGTATGCATCATCAGAGCAGACAATAGACATCCAATGGTTCAAACAGTAGCCGATAAAAATAATTTTCAACACTACTACGAATTTCCACCAGGGGTGAGATTTTTATTTTTTATTTTTAGTTTTTTTTTCTTATAAGGTTTACGATATTGTTATGATATAAGTATTAGGATATTTGGTTTCACCCATCTGTTAAGGTTTTTATTTTGTACAGAATTCAAATAAAAAAGACTTGAGTGGTTGTGGGCAGTGTGTGAAAGGAGTGTATATCGTGTGGGATTAGTGATCTTATGTAGTCATTGTTAGGGTAATTAGAAGAAAAATATAATCATTGTATAGTGATATCTTAAATCAGATCTTCATTGTAATACTTCAAACTAGAGTAGAACATGTTTTTCTCATAATACTGAACATAGTCCTAAGATTGGGGCGAAATAATATAATATTTGTGGTGTTAAATTTTTCTATCATCATCTCTTATTCCTTTGTTATTGTTACTTAATTACTTTATCTGGTTTTAGCTTGTGGATGAGGAAAATCAAATAGTTCTTGTTTGATGAACGTACAAGAGCATCAATTGATCTATATTTTTTCCCACCAGTATGCTAATATCAAGAACAAGAACAATCAAACTAACCTACTTCTTGTTAAGGGTTCCACACAGATAAAAGAACTAAACAAGAGTTTATAATGGAAGTTAGCTACTCCTCCCATAGCCAATTGATTACAAGAGGGAAATCCATGAATAATAATATGTATTAGAGCTCAAAGATGGGATCCAGCCAAGATCGATGAACCAAAATAGTTACGATCTTGAGATGACATGTTAAAGATTCCACATAGATAAAGAACCTAAACAAGAGTTCATAATGTAAGTGAGTAAGTCTCCCCTAATTAACAGGTTATGAGATGAAACCTGAATAATAATACTTCTTAATAGGTTTCTTCTTCAAAACCACAGGCGGCTGGGTATTTTATTTTATTTTATTTTATTTAAATAACACCCAAGCGTAATTAAACAAAAATGATGGTGATCTTTTGAATTAAAAATGGAACATTTGAACTTTCCAAACATACAAGAGTTGTTGATTGAATAATAATGTTTAAATTAGAATATATGCTAGTTTAAATCTTGTAAAAGTTTGGTCGCTTTATAATTTAATACTTCAAATTTGAAGAAACTTATTTTTGGTCCCTCATATTTTATTTCGATGTTTATGTCTCTATGAACACTTGAAAAAAATATATCAATCTTTTTTTGTCTTATTATTATTGTTTTTTTGTCTTTATCAATTGTTCAAACATATTGATGATATAACTTTGAATATACGTATTAATGTTTTGATGTGGTAAAATAGGGTATTAGAAGACAGTGGTCTTAATAACCAAATAGGAGCCTTAATTATAAATTATTTTATGAAGTATGTTGCACAAACTTTAGGCTCATCCGGTAACGTTCTCATTTTCCATTTCTTATTTTTTTGTTTCTAATTGAACTAGAAATAAGAATACGTTTGATAACCATTTCTGTACAAACAAACAAAAATATGTTTAATAACTATTTTCCGTTTTTAATATTTTTTTTTTATTATCCAGGAATTGGCGGCCCTTTAGCCTGTTTGCCCCACCCAAGACTTTAAGGATATTCCTTGAAGCTCTAAGCCACCCAAACTATCCTTTGGAACCTGTTCTTAATATTAATTTTAGCATTTTTTAATATAATAACTTGTTAGGGTGTGAATTCGAACTCACGATCTCGTGATCGTAGATATATGCCTCAACACAAGTTGACTTACTTTTATTTTTCGTTAAAATAAAATTCAGTGGATATAATATATATAACATATCCTTGAAAGTTATTATTTATTAAAAAATATATAATTTACAATATAATTTCTTTTATATATATAAAAGTCTAAATTATTAGCTTTACACAAAGAATAAATTTTAAAAAATATTTTTAATTTAAAAAATATAAAATATATTAGCAATTAAGGATAAATTTTTAGACTATTTTTAATTTAAAAAAATGGAAAATATAGTTTTTGTTTAAGAAAATATAGTAGCTTTACTAAATGATAAATTTAAAAACTATATTTAATTTAAAAACTAGAAACTATATTTTTTGTTTGAGAAAATATAAAAAGAAAAAAGAAAAAAAAACAAATTTTCATATTTACATAATATTGAATAGAAGAGAGCAGGGTTTTTTTTAATTTAAAATAACACTTTTTTAAAACTTATTTTCCAAATAATGCTTTTTCGAAATGTATTACCCAAAAAAAAATACAAAAGATTAAAATAATTATGTTAAAATCACTATTCCAAAATCAATTATTATTAAATCTCTTTTACTAAAATCACTAATTCTAAATCACTTATATAAAATTAATTGTAATTAATTATCTTTGTTCAACGCCCTATCTTAGTAGCTCAATGTCAAAGGAAAAATGTTAGAGTAAATAATATAAAAAAGAGGGATTTAATTTAGTTTAAATTAGAATATATTTATATGTAATTTTATCCTTGTGTCTATAAATTCTCATAGAGCTCTTTCCTTGCCAACCAAAGTTCAAAAAATATCAAAAGCTCCCTTCCTCCAAGTCTCTAACCATGAACTCTCCATTTTCATCTCTACTTATTCCTCGACAAAGTGCATCATCAGTCAACGGTGATACTCGTCGATCAGCAAACTTTCCACCAAATATATGGGGAGATTATTTTCTTTCTAACATTTTTCATTCCATGGTAGTAAATCGTTATTTCTTCTTCTTAATATATGATCTATATATTGACTGTGTCGTTCGTTGTTTTTTCTTTGATTGGTTGATTTTAAATCGTTCTATTTTAGCCTTTAAACTCACGAGTCACATCGAAATTGGTTGGAATTATAATTCTTTATAAAATTGGCCTTTGAAAAAATAATCTATATATTTATAAAGTTGCTAGTTATGTAAAAAGCTCCCACAAAAATATAAGTGGCCGATTTTGGGTCCAAAAACTTCATTTGTACTTTGTAATTGGTCACGTGAGTCAATTTTAACCATAAAACTTTGAATTTTATCGAACCAAACCATATTAATATTATTATTTAAAGATTTGTGATCAGCTATAACCATTCTTTTATTTGATACGTTATAATTAAGATAATTAATTTTTTTTTATACCAACATATGTAAAGATGGGAGATGGAACTCACAACCTCTATTTGCCAATTACCGCTGAACTATGGTCGCTTTGACAAGATTAATTAATTTTATTGTTGGGTTGAATGTTTTGTTAACCAATGTTTTGTGGTTAAGGTTTAGATATCTTCACAGTTGAACTTAGGTATTTCATGGCTTTGATTAATTTTGGGTATTTTATTGATTATATTTTATGTAATTTATTGGCTTATTAGTTATAAATCTTCGAATTTAATTTAAAAGATGTATTCATTTTACCACTTAATTGTAAAAATTGAAATATTCTTTCAACCAAAATTTATGTTTTTCTTCTTTGTTTATGTTATCAGGACATGGAAGATAATATTGAGGAAAAAGTTGAAGCACTGAAGGAGGGAGTGAGAAAATTATTGATTACTTGCGTTGAGAAACCTTCCCAACAACTGAGCTTGATTGATTCAATCCAACGATTGGGAATCGCTTATCATTTTGATACAGAGATCAATGAAGCGCTCAATCATGTTTATAAGAATTACACTGTTGTTTCCAATAAAAGCAATGAAGATCTCCAAATTGTTGCTCTGAAGTTTCGCTTGCTTAGACAACAAAGATACTCTATTTCATGTGGTAGGTTCTCAATTATTTAGCATCAAAGTTGATTATTTATTTAGTCTAAATTAAAATTTAATTTTGTATTTTGAATATTGTGTAAATTTTAAATAGTTTTAATTACATTTCTAAAATAATAAAAATTTGTAAAGTTGACAAATTTATTAGTTATATATATGACCTCAAAACTACAAAGCTAAAGTTTGGACTTGGTTGTGCGTGAGAGTGGGTTTGAGAATAATACTTTTAAGGTGAAACATTTGTTTTATCAATCATTTTGAAGAACAACACTAATTAATTAAAGAGCTTATTCTAAAAATACTTTAAACTTATAAGAGATTTAGAAATTTTGACCATGTGACCAAACACCATTTTAAAAAAAACACTTAAAAGGGTACTTCTAATTAGCCATTAACGTTTACAATTTAAAAATTATGTGAAATTCACCATTGTCAAGGATGTTGGGGTTTCAAGCTATGCAAACAAAGTTCTACATTGACTAGGGAAATGAGTGATCCAATGATATATAAGAGAGAACAATTATCTGTATGAGGCATTTTTGGGTGAAACCGAAAACAAAGTCAGGAAGGCTATGCCCAAAAGAGACAATATCATTTGTCCTTAACAAAGAAGTTGTTTAATAAAATCCTTTAAGATTTCTGGTAACTAATTCAATTTTATATTTTCTGTTTTTTAAAAACGTTTTTAAAAGTCTAAATAATTTTTTTTTAAAAATAGATTTATGTTTCTCAATTTTGTTTTATTTTTTTCTTTTAAAGGTCAACTTGTTTTTTTCTTCCACCTATTTCTCTCTAATAAATTTCTTTCCCACTTAAAAATTTTTCCTACCTAAATTTCTCTCTAGAAGATTTATCTTTCTATCTCTAAATTTTCAATTCTAGAAAAATTACTATTATTTCTCTCTCTCCAATATTTTCATCTTTATATATTTTTATTTCTTTCCTTTTTTCTAACATATCATTCTCATTTTACTCTCTCTAAATATCTAATATTTTACCAAAATTTTCTCTCTCTCAAATAAGAAAATACTAAAAATAGAAAAATAATTATCAAACTGGCCCTAAATTACAAGTATTTGGTTTTTTAGTACTATAAATGTGAGGATATGAATTTGAACCTTTGATCTAATAGAAAAGATTAGATGTCTTTACCATTAAGCTATGATCATCTACAAGTATTTGGTTTCAATAATTTATTGATTGGATCTAACTTGCGAGGCTACTTATTCAACGATCTCATCTTGTTTTACATTATTTGGTATATTATTGCCACTAAATTACCAATTATATACGATTTAGACTTAAATATCATTTTGGTCATCCCTTCAAGTTTTAAGATTATTATTATTATTATTTGAAAATGATTATTATTCTGTTTTAACCTTTGAACATCAACTTCAAGTTGTTCTATTTTGATCCATAATTTCTAAAATATATAAGATTGAATCCTAGGATTTATATATCTCATTAACAAAAGGCCTTGAAAAACAGAGATCTTCGACAAGTTTACCGACGATGAAGGGAATTTCAAGGAATCGCTTGCCAAGGATGTTCGAGGAATGTTAAGCTTATATGAAGCCTCTCATGTGCGGATGCATGGAGAGGACGTTCTCGAACGGGCCCTTGCTTTCAGCACCACAAACTTAAAAGCAGCCATTAGTAATGGAAGCCATGAAGGGAGCTGGGGGTTTGGAGCTCAAGTGAGGCATGCATTAAAATGGCCGGTCTTCAAAGCCATGCCTAGGCTTGCAGCAAGAAATTACATATCTTTCTATGAACAAGATCCATTGCATCACCCTACTTTGCTTTCCTTTGCCAAGCTTGATTATAACACCTTGCAAAAGCTTTACCAAAGAGAACTTCATGAAATCACAAGGTGAAGATATCATATCCATCTTTAGCTTCTTCCCAACATTTTTTTTTTCTTTCCCTTTCTTTCAAACTACATGTATGCATGTAGTATTTGTTTCGGTTTAACTTACAAATAATTCGGCCCCTAAACTTTTAGGATTTGTTCAGTTAAGTTACAAATAATTTGGCCCCTAAACTTTCATGATTGTGTTTATTTAATCTTTATTAAAATCTTAAATGTTGATGTCAAACGAATCTGTCAAAGACAATTTTTGAGAATTAAATGTCAATGAAAATATTGATATGAAAAGATATTTATTAAAAGTTCATCAGAAATTTGTAAAAGAATATTTAAATAAGTTGTTTTTATTAATACTATATTCCCACTAAAGATATTTTATTGATGGATATATCTTATATATTTTGACGATATTTTTGCAATATAATTATGGAAATTTCAATTCACCCTTGAAATTTTTTTTAATAAATATATGAACTTTCAATTTTGCGTTTAATAGATCTTTGGCACCCCTGAATGTACTATTGACATGCTAATTTTGAGCAAGTTAAAGCCTTTACCGCATAATTATCATGTTGAACTAATGGAGTTAATATAAGGACTTAATTATTATACACCAAGTTGAAAAGGGATCTTTTTAAGAATATAGGGATACTTTAAATAGACACAGCTCTAAAAGCTCAAGGGTCTTAACTTATAATTTAATATTGGTATGTTTTTAGTACAAAACTTTTTTTTCTATCATAATGTTATTATTGTATGCACTTGAAATCATTGTTTTTACCAGTTCATGCTTGGGAAAAACAGACGTTTAGGTATGGTTGCTTTGAAGTTGTTTTTCTCATGACTATATTTTAGAATAATTAGTGTCATGTCCTTCAGAGAATGACGTAGTTGGCAAGGACATGAGGTTCTGTGGTATTACCTATCATGGGATTCTGTGTTTGAACTGTATCAGTTACCCGAACATATCTTGAACAGAACTTTGATTTTCAAACAATTATCTAAACATATTCAGTTTTTACTTAAATTTTATTTATAGAATGTGTTGTCTAACTCTCAAGGAATTGTACATGTAATTTATGTATGAAAAGGTGGTGGAAGGACTTGAAGCTGGTGGAAAACCTATGTTTTGCAAGAGACAGATGCGTGGAATGCTATACTTGGGCATTGGGAACATACTTTGAGCCTAAATACTCTCTTGGTCGAATAATGTTGTCCAAAATTGTGGTCATTACATCAGTTTTGGACGATATTTTCGATCTACATGGTACATTTGAAGAACTTCAACTCTTCATTCATGCAATCGACAGGTTTGGTTCGCTCAACTCTCGTTGAAGGTTTTGTTTGATAATGTTTTTATTTTATGAAAATCAAGTTCGATCGATTATTAGAAGCGCTTTTTTAAATCTATGCCAAATTTCAGCTTTTCTTTGGTTCATACTTCGATTTTTTAAGAACACTTAACGGAATTATTATGCAAGAAAACTACTTTCTAGTTTTTAGTCTATGGTATTTTAAACATTACATTTATGTAGTTTCTAAATTTTAAACATTATCATGTTTCTATTTAATCCATATTATTATTACTACTAATGAAACAATGATGCAACGTGTCCAAAAGATAATGACTATATCAATGTAGTTGGTTAATAGTGTCAATCTAAAGTTTAGGACCTAATATAATTTTGTTAAAATTTTTTTAGTTATAAATAAATATAATGTTCAAAATAGAGTAATATTAATTTGTAATTTAACTATAAAGAAAGTATTAGTAATTAAACCGCGACGTATAATTTTTGAAACAAAATTGTTATCAGATCTAACTTATTAGAACGGTTGAGTAAGTATCTTTTAAATTACAAGTTAATTAGTTTACCATTTTTTTTTCCACTTTTTAGGTGGGATGTTAATTGCATCGAGAGACTTCCAAAATACATGAAAGTGTATTATGAAGCTGTAATGGACACTTACAGAGGAATTGAGCAAGATATTAACAAATATGACATTCCTTATGCCATTCATTATACAAAAGAAGCTGTATATTCTCTCTTACCTTCTATATATTCTTATTAGTCTCATGGAAAAAAAAATAGTAGTTCTTCCTTCTCCTTCAACATATTTATAAAAAAGAGAAGAAAAAAACTTGACACGACCCACCCCATATTACATTGGAATTTGTTGTTGGCACGTCACGTCCTGGGTTGGATAGGGTGATCTGGGGCGTTTGGTGTCAAAACTCTTTTTTGTTTTCTAATTTTATTTTAGTATTTTCCTTACATGGTATAATTCTTTATGCATACCCAGATGAAAAGGCAGGCTAGAAACTACTTTTTTGAGGCTAAATGGTACCATGATGGGTATATACCAACCATGGAGGAGTATTTGAGAGTTGGAAAAGTAACTTCTTGCTACTATTTGTTTTCTCCTATTTCATTTCTTGGCATGGGAGATGTTGCTTCAATGGAGGCATTTGAATGGATTGAGAGTGACCCGAAATCGCTTATTGCCTCGGGAGTCATTGGTAGGGTCATGAACGATATTACTTCCCACAAGGTAATTATTATACTATATCTATACGATCTCAACAATTTAGGTCCCGTTTGGTAGGCGTTTTTCAACGTGGGATCCCATCAAAATGGTGTTTTTTTGGATTGACAAATCTTCGTTAAATTCCATTTTTGGATCACACGTTCGTTTGAGCTTTTAACTCTGATATCATATCACAATGTGGGTATTAAGATTCATGGGGTTTCATCTCAAAACCAATTGGTGATGAGAGGTGTAGCCCACTTATATTATAAACTCTTGTTAAGTCCCTTCACTTTCAACGTGGGATCCTTAACAGTATGGGATCGCTCTACACTTATCTCTCTAATTTTATTTCTTTTCTTTGTTTGATAAATATATAGTTTGAACAAGAGAGGGGCCATTCCGCTTCTGCCATTGAATGCTATATGAAACAATATGATGTATCAGAAAAAGAGGCCGTAGAAGAATTGAAGAAGCAAGTTACAAATAGTTGGAAGGAAATCATAGAAGATTTCGTGAAATCAATTGACGTTCCAAACACTACTTTTATGCCTGTCTTAAATCTTGCTCGACTCTCAGATACCTTTTATAAAGATGAAGATGGATACACATATTCAGATGGAGAAACCAAACTTATTGTCATTTCGTTACTCGTGGATCCAGTGCCAATTTAAGACATGATATTGAGCTCGATGATCAGTTTCCATATATAAAATAGTATTTTACAAGTTGTACTGGAACAAATATGTGATAAATAATAAGAATATGAACAATGCACTAAATAAAATATTGTACTCTTTTAAAGATTTGTAGCGAGTAGAATATTTTTTGGTGGGTAAAGTGAGAAGGTTTTTATCGTTCTCCTGAGAATGATGCACTAGCTATAGAGTCTTGGGCCTTGTGGTATCATCTAACATGAGGTCTTATTGACAACGAGGCCTAATTATAGAAGTCCACTGCATAAGCCACATGAGATCGATTTTAGAAAATTAAAAAAAAAAGTTAAGACTTTTATCACAAGGTTGTATTAAAGCATAAAATTGGAGAGATCCAAAGGTAAATTGTGACATGTGTGTCTATATTTGAAAGCTATTTAATAATACTAGTATCAAAAATTTCATAGTTTTATTTCAAAGTATTTAAGAAATAGTTAAAATATTAAATAGAACTTGGTAATTTTCTCTCTCCCTATTTACCTCATCAACATTTTTTATTTTTTTTTATTTGTATCTAACACAAAAGTGACCTTGCAATAAATCTTATCAATCATTTATCTCTAAAAAAAAAAATTGAGAAGCAATAATGATTGCTTGATATATTTCATAATTAAAATACAGCGAGCAAGAATAAATAATTTAACAGGTATCTATGATAGAAATGGACAAATCATTTCTAGATTTAAAATTTTATCATATCTTTATTGTTACATATTTGGAAGGTTATAAGTTTTAATTTAAATGAAAATGGCAGTATTAAGTTTTTTAAGGTATGCACGCCTTACTTTATCTTATTAAATTTTATGGATTTTTTGAGTTTTTTGAAATTTTAAAATTAAATTTAAAGGTAAATTTTACTTTGTTTTTTAGAAGAAAAAGTAAAATTTACTATTGAAATAATGCAATACCCATTATACTTTTATTGACAATATTTAATGTTATTACTTTAATTTATAGTCTTATTAAGAGGAACATTTTATAGTCTGTTTATATAGAAGGATCAAATTCAAACAATTTAGATAAATTTCGCCCATAAGAGAGAAGATTTTGTAAGTTTTTTAAAAGATCAATGTTATTAATTTTCAAGACCATAATGTTGTTGGTTTTTCCCAATGTGACATGAATAATGATTTGTTATTACAAAAAGAAAACATAAATATTCTTTAAAAAAAAAACTCACCTCCACTCCTTACAGAAATGGGGCATCGGTAAAGCTTCGAAAATATTATTATTATTATTATTATTATTATTATTATTATTATTTTTTGATAAACTGATTTTAAAATTATAAATTTTAAAATAAAATACAGCAAAAATCTCATAAACAAAATACAATGTTAAAATTAATTTGAACTTGGACAAGCTGTCGTCACGTATGCAATAGAATATAAAAATTGGAATTTTAATAGTGTGAAATAACTAAGAATCCATAAATCACGAATTTCATTCTACATATGTTTTTGTCTACTTATATGCCACTTAAAAAACTAAAATAACCGTAAATATAAAATGTTATCAAATACCAAGGAAAAATGAAATCATGATCTAGACTCTAGACTCCAGACTCTAGACTCAACAACAACTTCAATGGTGGCACGCAAATGTGACCTCAACGGTGGCGAGTAAAATATACTGCAAAACCGAAAGAAAAATTCAATCTTATTTTTTTACGTTAATCAAGGACAGAAAAAAAATCCATTTTCAATTTCAATTTTATATATTTTCAATTAAATGAATTCGCAACCAATAATATATTTTCAAATTTGGTCAAGGTACCCTCTCCACGTATACCTTCATCTCGTACTCTATAAGATTTTTTTTCCTTTGCTTGTGTTGTTATTTCGAGATTAGTTTATAGATTTATAGATTCCTAAGAGGAAGATGAAAGGATTAGTGAGAGGAGGAGAACTTGGGTAATTGGAGCATGATAAATAATGAGAGTGCATAAATAAACTACCAAGATGGGAAAGTGAAGAGAATAGAAGAATTTCGAGGGGTGGGTGAGAGAGAATAATGAAGGAAGTTAGATGGGTGTGGCCAAAAGACAAATCTAATTATTTTTTAATATATATTTTTACACTTTTATTTTTTTAAATATTATTTAACCATTGAAACATACTTTTTAAATTCCATTAATATAATTAAAGCTAAAGTCATTAATTTTTAGAAATAAATTGCCAAAATTTTTATTAAAACTTCTCATATTATATTCCTTATTTTTTTTCTTCATTCTAACTTAAATAAAGGAACTAAAAAGACAAAAAAAAAAATATATAAATATAAATATAAATATAAAAAGTAGAAGAGAGGGAGGAGTGGCGTGGAGAGGGAGGGAGAGAGAAAGGAGGGAGGGAATTAGTTGGAATTTGAAGAGATTTGGAAAGAGAAATAGGTGGGATCTGGGAGGGAAAGAGTTGAAAGACAAAAATGTCATCAAAACAATAAAGAAACCCTTAAATTTAAGGGGCAAAATAGGGAGAAAAATTTCTCCCTATCGCCAATTTTATATATAGTATAGATTAGTATTATATTGAAAACCTTAAAGTTGGTGCTACTATATAATACAGTTTCTAGATTTTAAATTTAAATAATTTGTGATTAAAAAATAATTAAATTATTGAAGTGTAATGGTGTCTCTCAGTGGTGTAAAAAAAAAAGAAAAAAATGAAATGGTGTGTCTCAGAAAATTTTGAATTTTAAAATGTGTCTTAAAATGAAAAATAAAGAGCTTTAGGGTTATAACAAATAAGTTCATAAATCATAGTTTTTGCAACAAATGATGTATTTTAAGTTAGAACAATGAAAATAAAACAATGAGGACGACTAGTTCAACTACTCAAATTAATTATTACTTATTCTCCTGATGGATGAAAATTTGAATTCTCATCCAACACATGTTGTATTAAAAAAAATGATGTCCAATAAAATTTGGTTTAATTAACTTAAGAAAAAAAAAGAATGATCTAATTAACAAAAAGTTAAGCCAAAATTTAATCTCGGCAGGATAAAGTCATTCTGCCCTAGGAAGGAGAGAATTAATTTTAAAATTTTTATAAATCTAACTTCAAGATTGCAATGTTAATCTCATTAAATTTAAATCTTAAACTTAAGTTAGAGGTAAAATATCCCACAAATTTGTCCTCTTCGTGAAGATTGAGTTCTTTCAAAGGAGTTAAAAAAAATGTGGTGAGGGGTGGCCAGTGGCCTACTCCCGTCCTCTCCTTCTCCTCTCGATGAAGGGGTGCGCATTCTCTCTCAGTCTTCCGACTGAGTTTTTTTTTTTTTTTCCAGATGGTGTTCTTCTCTACTTTGTTCCATTCTTCTATGGGTATTTTCAGGAAGTAAGTAACATGGATCGAGATATAACAAGGACCTCTCTTGCGGTTGTGGAGGCAGTTTCTAGGGAGGAGAAGTCCACAAAAAATGTAGTGGTAGGGTGTCGGGGTTCTCCCTGTTGGATGCCGATAGTGTTGTTGCGGCTAACAAAATCAAAGGCAGCATTATTATGTATGGTCCATGGCTTCGTCATCAGGACGTTTTAAAGAATTATAAAGCACAAAATTGGAGTGATTTCTTGGGATGGCATACTGGTTCAGAGAACTTCCATGGTCTAGGGGCAAGGATGACGGAGCAGAAGATGGGCAGCAGTGGAGGTGTGGGGCGATCGGCTCGAACACCGTTTTTTAATATGTGAAGGCTATCAATCTTAATTGTATTGAGATCTGTAACCAACATGATTTCGAAAATTTGTCTAATTCTTCTTTAACTGTCATGGTGGAAAATAAGGCAACTTTAGAGGCAAATATTTCCCTTTCAATCTTAAATAGGGGTGTCATAATTGACAAGATCCCTCTAAAGTTCGGAAAATCGTTGAAGTCGTTGTTGTATGGACTTGTCTGTCATTATTTTCTAAAAAAGAAAAAGAAAAAAAAAAGAAAATTGGAATGGTTGAAGTTAATGAGGGTATATTGGTCTTTCAACTTTTATTAAAAGAAAAAAAAAAGAAAGAAAGAAAAGAATTAAAATGTTGAGATGACACGTGTGTGACATTATTTTCTGTCGCCATCCTCGGGAGGCCTTACCTCCACGGCTTACAAGTTGTCTCATCCACATTCCATTAGATGATGAAGTATCCCACAAAGAGTGGGTAGGAGCAATGAGAGGTGAACAAAAGGCATCTAGAGAGTGTTATGTAATCGAGCTCAAGGGTGCACGAACATGTGCAATGATAATCGGAGAGACCTCTACTGCAGACGAACAAGTCAAGGAAATCCCTCAAGATGAGTCATCAGAGAAGATTGAAGGTTGGGGTATTCTTGTGGAAGACCTTAAGTAGATTCCAATCAGCTTTTTAGAAAAATAAGTGAGCATCGGAACTAAACTATAGGCTCCATTTAAGACTGATCTTATTAATTTTTTACGTGCAAACTCTGATGTATTTACATGGTCTCATGAAGACATGTCGGGCATTGATCCTAATATAATAGTCCATAGGTTGAACATAGATCCCGACAATCGATTAAGCAAAATCGCCAACCTGTGGACGCTACGTGTCATGGTCATGCTTGTCCAGGGCCTGTTGCCCGTGGCCGCATGCCCATAACAACCTCTTTCCACATGCTTTCATGTCATGTATTTAGTTTTGCTTGTTATTTAGTTTTCCTTGTACTTTTGGTGGCGAGTGACTCCTCGCCACTTTGCATGTTCACGCCTGCCAAAGGCAAAATGCTTTATAATCTACCTTAGGGGGTACACCTAGTCTCCTCCCTACATTGCATTGTATTCTTGTCTTGCTGCTAATCTATTCTCTTGCATTCAAGCTTACAATAACTTCCAAAATGCTTACAAACGTTTTCCAAAACCTTTTTCTCTAACCCCGTTTTCCAAAACCGTTTTCCCGAAAACGGGGGTGGAGGTTGCGACATATAGCCTTT